CTACATTTCCCATCAGGCTTAGCTTTATAAGTGGCTATGTGGATCTAGATGTAGTTGTAAGCATAGTTCAGGTTGGCAAAAGTAGCTTTTTCTATGTGTTTTGGCCTTTCATCCACACCCTAATTAGGGCTGCACGATTTTGGGAAAAAATCTAATTGCGATTTTTCTGACAAATATTGCGATTGCGATTCGAATTGCGATATTTGTTTTTAAGCGACCCAACGGAAATTTATTGTAAAATGCGGACATAACTCCAGCTAGGAAGGTCGTATCAACGTACTCCTGTCTCTAGCACCCCCGCACCCCGAGTGAAAGAACTAAACTTACATGAAACTTCCGTTGGGTTGCTTTAAAGTCAAGCTTCAGTTTAAGATTCACCCTGTAATAGAAACATGTGATGGAGCATTACTAACCTGACTCAGATGGTTTGATTCACCATCTAGGAAAGCTCCATTGGAAGCCATTTGGAAAGGGCAGGCACTTTCAAAAATACTTGGCAGGTGATTGGATCAATCTGTCTATCACCTTCTATCATGGGCCACTTCTGATTGGTTAACAATGGCTGGTACATGTGGAGCACAGCACTTCTGATTGGTGTGGATGACTGACACACAAGAAGTTAAAAAAAAAAAAATTGTAAAAAAAAAAATGTTAAAGAAAAGTGTCAGTCATCCACACCAATCAGAAGTGCTGTGCTCCACATGTACCAGCNTGACTGACTGACTGACAGATAGATAGATAGATAGACGGATGGATAGATAGATGGATAGATAGATAGATGGATAAATAGATAGATAGATAGATAGATAGATAGATAGGGACATATTTTTGTTACAGGACCAGTGAGCTCAACATTAAAATAAAAATACTTAAAATGTAGAATAGACTTCCTCCTCCTTCTTCTTCCCTGCAGAAACCACTCGTCTTGAATCGACTTCATCAGCAGACTGCCTTTTCTGTTCAGTTATTTATTTGATTGTCCATTTCTAAATATCTTTTGAGGCACCCACGGTCATCCCTTATGTTTCCCCTGACAGCATGTGGGAGATTTTCCAGCAGCATGAATAGGAAACCTTGGTGAGGAGGAATGAGGGCTTTTTTCAGAGCCAGCGTCCTCCAACATGTGAGCTCCAGTCTGCAGGTTCATTATCTGCAGAGGCCTTGAAGACACAAAGCAGAGAAACAGGCTGTGGAATATTCAACTTTAAATCCTGATTACAAGCAGAGCAAAACGTGGCGATGGTGTGATAGTATTTCAATGGAATTTAAGTTGTACATACATACTCAATACTGTGGGCAATCCCCACAGGAGCAATTTGTGGTGAAGTGTCTCAGGGACACAACGACATGCTGACTGCAGTGGGGTTTGAACCTTGATCCGAACACCAACGCTCTATCCACTGCGCCACACGCCTATAATATTGTATCTGAATCAGTATCAGAAATACTTTGAAAGTCCCAGGGGGAAAAAGTTTTGTGGGACAGTTGACCCATTTAATAATGAATAAAATTGAATAAAGGAAAATAAGAAAAAACTATACAATTAAAATTAAACAATAAACTAGTATGTGAACATATATTCATTTCACATCAAATTAATACTCATCTTAATTGCAAAACTGTTTTCTCACAGCTGAAGACAGTACAGAGGTTTTACACAAGTTAAAATAAATAATCAAATTATTTATCTACAGGAGGTGAAAGAGCACATCGGCAGCGTGCATCTTGCCTCGTTAAATTAATGAAGATGCAGCAGGACGTAATGCAAGGATTAAAGGATCAATCAAAAGTTTTTACGAGAGTTCGAAGACTTTTATTTCGACACGTTCTGTAAAGCATACACTTCCTGCTGTTTTACAGTAACGTAAAAATGTTCTTGTTTTATGGATACAACCATTTTTTTTTTACTGTTATTGTAATAGGATTATACTGCCATGTGAAGAATGAGCAAAACAACTTGAAAAAGTCATTTCATGGTGACTTTAAGGGCAACTGAAGGATCACATAAGCCTCTATGGAGGTCGCTCCTAAAGCCCTTATTTGAATAAAGCAATAAATACATATAGCGGTCAAACTGTACACAAGGCTGTAACATGACACACAAACAGCACATCCTCAACTGTGTAATGCAGGAATAATGTTCGAAACACACTTTAATACGAGGGGGAATGAGTTACTCTACGCGTTGTCAGGGATGTGAGTTACTTGGTGTTGATGTGCTCCTTCCTCCGGGTAATCCTCAGGTCTGTACTGTCCAGACGCTGCTTCATCCAGGCTTAAGTTATCCATCAGTGTCAGATGGAAAACAAAACCCTGGCTTCTCACTTCTGTCTCTCACAGCTCTGTTATCCAGCGCTGGCAGCACATTCACCTGTTATGGATGTCTGGGTTTAAGGCATGGAGTTCTGTCCAATATGATACTCGATGATATACTCACCTGCAGCTGGACAGTGCCTTGCAAGTGAGTTAAGTCTATTTTTAGGGGAACTGTAATCGTCTAAAAGCTGAATCTGCGTCGTTGCATCTCTTAGATTACATGCATGTGTATGTATTTGGTCACGTCTGCTACTCATGGATGTTTATATGCAGAATTTTGCACTAGATGTCACCTGATTTTTCACAAAGGAGAAAACAGCGCACACTCAGGGCTACCTTTCTTCAACTTTTTTTTCACCCCTGGACAAATTTATACCAAATCTCAGTTCCAGTGACTTTAATTAACCCTTAAATTATTTCTGTATCCAGTCATTTGGCAGGCGTGGGTAGTGTTATACAGGTCTTATAATGCTAGAACATGGGTGTAATGGGGGTGTATGTATGAAGTGGGTGTGTTCGGGTGTATTAACAGTGTAATACAGGTGTAAAATGTGTGTAATGGGGCGTATAAATGTGTAATTTGGGTGTTATGTGTAGATAATAGCATTACATTAGGTTTCCGAAATATGTATATGTGATTACCAGTTTAAGTTAAATGCCATTAGGGTTAGGGCTGAACGATTAATCGATTTTAAATCAAAATCGCGATTTTAAATGATGCGATTATCAAACCACAAAGCCTGCGATGTTTTTAAACTTTTTTTTTTTTTTACACATTTTTTTTTTTTTCTTCTTGTGTGTCAGTCATCCACNAAATAAATAACCGAACAGAAAAGGCAGTCTGCTGATGAAGTCGATTCAAGACGAGTGGTTTCTGCAGGGAATAAGGAGGAGGAGGAAGTCTATTCTACATTTTAAGTATTTTTATTTTAATGTTGAGCTCACTGGTCCTGTAACAAAAATATGTCCCTATCTATCTATCTATCCATCTATCTATCCATCCGTCTATCTATCTATCTATCTGTCAGTCAGTCAGTCTGTCTGTCTGTCTGTCTGTCTGTCTGTTCAAGGTTCTTTATTGTCAAACTAACATAGCTACAGAGTAATTATGTCGTGGAATAGTGTCTGTCTGTCTGTCTATCTATCTATCTATATATCTCTCTATCTATATATCCATCCATCCATCTATCTAACTCATCGGTGCAAATCTCTATAGCAGAGATTCCATCATACATTAGATTTAGATTATATCAGATTATTTTCACCTTTATGCAGTATACTGGGAGAGTTACGTGCATTTAGCATTCAACCAGAAGTGCAAGAAAAGTGTTTCAGTGCAGTGCATAGATAGTGGAAATATGCACAGCATATTAAATACACTGTAGACACTTTAATAATAAAACAATACAATTACAATAAACAAACGTAGAGTACGAATCAATATGAGTACACCGTAGAAGATACAACTAGTATGGACGGTTGTATGAATAAATACGCATAACCTTTTAAACATATTTTATTGTTGTTGTGGATTTATTGAGTGATATGCTTGCTGTAGTAACTCAAACTGGAAGAATGAAAGGCTGACACATTGTGCATCTCTTCTTCAGCAGAGGGTTCACCTCCCACCTGCTCCCTGCTTCAAAGAAACCAGACTGATGCTGGGATATGATGGAGAAGACTCACTCTCACATGACATTACTGGTCTGGAAATGCAGAATGCAAAAGAAGAGCCACCTTACAAAAGGATAACGTTTATACACAGAAAACAAGCACCTAATTGAATTGATGTTACATATGTCACAAAGATGATACCAGCTAAAGAAAGAAGCCTAAGCGAACAGACAGCACATACTTTGTTCATAATAAAGAGCCAAAACTCTTAGTATATCAAACCAATCATAATAACTATGAAATGCACCAACAAATGATGCTAATAGAGAAAAACGTACTTTGAAAAAGAGATTCTTTATTCAGTTTTCAAGTTCTACCCTTCAGAAGATGCAATGTAGTGGCAAATATAAAAGTTGCTTAGCAACACTGAACAATCTTCGTAATAATTATGTATTTGAATGTCGTGGAAAATACTAGTTGGAAATAAATGTGGGGGGCCAATGCACAGTGAAGATGATTCAGTTGCACTTTCGCATGTGTATTTCACACTTTTCTCGTATTTTGGGATCTGAGTGTGGAATAAATAGGAAAAAGCATCCCCAACAAAGTTACTCACCAACATACTGATGTGATTTATTGACCAAATATGATATTTTAGCGCTATCTGCTGGATAAGAAACATAATTACAATTTAGGAAAAATAACGGAAGATCAAATCCTTGGATCCTTTTTAAATTAATAACGTTACGTTTGAATTTGGACGAAGTTAAAGTTTTATACTGGTGTTTAATACGTAAACAAATATTGCTGCCCTTCAAAAACTCCACACACCGGTCAAGGTTTGGTGATATTTCGCTGAGCCAATCAAATCTGCTTTTCATTCGTCTCGACCAATCAGAAACAAGCATGTTTGTAGGGGGAATGATCCACGTATGGTTGTCGAAAAATGCTCAGAGTTACATTACATACGGATGGGTGTAACTGCCATGGTAACTGCGCATACATAAGCTGTTAGATCTACGATCTGCGCGGCTGTGGCGTCCATGTTTTACGTGTGCAACTAACCAATGTGTTAACTGTCCAGCACACAGCATGACCTGAGATGCGAAACGAAAGAATGTGGAATTATTGACAATATTTAATTACAAAAGTGTTATTTTAATAGCCGAATACACTTGGAGACAAATAATTTCGCCACTGACAAAACCATGTTTCGGCAAACGAAAGGAGTGCTCCAGAAACTTAGATATCTGAGGTAAGTTAGCAAGTTAGCTTACACACACATGGGTTATTTTTAATAAATGAAATGCTCATTGTGTATGTTGTTGACTTGGTAGTGTCAAGCCAACATTAACTGACTGTTTGTGACAACGTGACTGGATATTGTGTGATATTTAAGATAAAAAGGGGCTCTGACTTTGTAGAAATGGGACATGGGTTAGCATTTAAACTGATGAAACAGATGATGCAACCAAACGCATCACTTTGGGGTTATCTAACTAACCTTACTGTTTACAAATATGTTTTAAACATTCAGAAGCAACGTTTTTAGTTACTGTAGTTTGAAATAAATATTGCTAACAGTTTCACCCGAGCCTTTATTGGTGTTGTACGCCTGTTTGTTTATATGACCTTCCTTTTTTATCACATGTAGACATACTGTTTAATAATGAATTATATATTAGCATATGGTTTGAAATGGACACTGTGAATGCACTTAGAGATGAAATAATGATCCACACAGTTCTTGTTCATTCCCCATTTATTTATCTCTTATCTTTAAGGCTTTAAACCTCAAGGTCCACATGGACGTTTGCAATATTTAGGAAACTCCCAATTAAACTTAACCATCATTATAAATTGTTCTCCTGCTGTGGGAATGTGTCACTTAATAATAAACCAGATATTCAACGAAGTAATGTCTTTTTGCATATGCTCTGAAATCAATGCACAATCTGGAAATGCAATGAAAGATGAAACATATCCACACAATGCTTATATGTTGTATCTAAAGCTTAAAACCACCTGTACCTTGTGTGGCTGCGCTACATTTTGCACACTTTTTGACGAGAAGAAAACTTCTAATTTAAGCGGCAGGATCATCATTAAGCTGCATCCTTCTGTGTAGAAATGTCATGCAATACACACAATATTCAATTCTATACAATATCGAGATATCTGCATAAGTTTGTACAAAGATTGGTGAATTATTCATTTGTACAATTACTCTTTTTTCTTTGCAGTTTCAATGGACAGCAGCACACATGGAGGCTGAAGAGCACCAAAGCACAAGAGAGGGCCTGCCAGTACCAAGCAGGACAGAAAATCCACGGCTTTACAGTCAGAGAAGTAAGCTTATTTCATTCATTTCTTATTTTAACAGTTACTTATATCATCTCATCTTATGCTTCACTAAAAGTTGTATAATTTAGGGGTTATAAAGTCAAGTTGTATGAACACACTGTGGATGGCTAAATGCATCTAAATGTTGGCCATGAGGGTTGTGCAATAGGTCTCCATTGTCAGTATGTGCGTCTGTGTATTGTGTTAGTTCAAACGGTGTATGAGTGATGATATGTGTATGTATTTGAATGTTTACTATGTTTGTACATGTATGCGGAACTGTCCAGAGCAAATGTCCTTACGGGGACAATAAAGTATATCGTATCGTATCTGGGGAATAATAAGTTAATCAGACACTTGGCCAGACACGAAGGATGTGCTGTGAATTTGTTTTGTGGTTGACTGTCTCATTATGATTTGATTGACCTTCTAGTAACACCACTTAGTAAAAAGCTTGATTCAGTGTCGGGGACGGGACCTTGAACCTTCGTAAAAGTGTCGTCTGCTTTAAAACAAAATGTCATTTCACTTTTTAATCCTGTTCTCCCAGGTTGTGGTGGTCCCGGACTTGTTTCTCACAGCAGTGAAGTTGACTCATGATAAAACTGGGGCTCAGTACCTGCATGCGGCTAGAGATGACGCCAATAACCTCTTCAGGTTTGTTTGAATGTGTTTCATCTGCTCCAAATACTAATACTTCTACATGACAACAGACCTTTAACATGGTCAAGTGTGAGAAATGTAACACTCCCTCTACAGTCACAGCATGACTTTGAAATAAGTGGTTGTGCTACAGCTGCATCTTAAACCGTGTACAACTTCAAACTTTATTTGTATAGCCCAATATCACAACACAGGTTTGTCTCAGTGGGCTTTGAATAACATTGTATATGATGGAGTTACGAACTAAGATTCGTAGAAACTGGCTAAAGATCATGTGACCCTCTGAAACCGTGATTTACCCGGCAACACTTCCAATGAGAAATACTGTAATGACGCACAGCCAAAAGAATGATTCTGAGGTCAGGGAGGATGAGCAGCACACCAGGTGCATCATGGGAAATGTAGTTTCTAGATTCAGGGTTGTTTAAATGTGTTCCAACAGCTCCAAATACTAATATTCATACATGACAACAGATCTTTAACATGGTCAAGTGTGAGAAATGTAACATTCCCACTAGAGTCACAGCATGACTTTGAAATACGTTATTATATTATAGCTGTGTCTTAAACCGTGTGCAAAGATATATATTTGACTTAAACCAATATATTCCTGCACTTTAACCTTATCTGCATATTGAAGTATGAATGCTTGTTGTTTGTATGTTGTCTTCTCCTAAGTGTTGTACGTCTCTTGTTTTTTTATATTTCAGTAGCTCTACTCATCTCATTGTACCTGTATAATGACAATTA